TAGGGGGGTAAGAGATCAACCAAAGGACTTGTATGCATGCATATAAGCATAACCAATGGACATAAGACACTGGGGAATAGGGGAGGCTAAGGGACTGTCTAGGGCGGGGGGAAAAATGGACACATATGTAATACCCTTTGTAATAAAAAATAAAATTTAAAAAAAAATGGCTCCAAGGGACCTACTTCCAAATTCCTGACACATACACCTTGAACAATAACAAGTGATTATCATTACTTTAAGCTACTAAATGTTGGGGTACTTTGTTATGTAGCAATAGATAACTAATACAGTGGGGCAGAATTAGGAAGGCGAAGATCACAGAAGGGGACTGAGTGAGAAAAAACAGGGGAGAGTATTCAGGGATAAACAGAACAGCAAAAGCTGAAAGTGAAGTTCTACTCTAGATTAATAAATTAATGAATAAAATTAATCTAGAGCTAATCTTAGGTTAGAAAGTAAAAATATGGTTGGAGAGGTAGCCAGAGCCAAGCCATGAAGTTTTGTATGCTAAGTTAATGAACTAGAGATGGATTTCAACAAAGATTCTGAAAAATGGGCTCCCTGGGTCAGTAGATTCAACTGAGTTTATGGAGTTAAAATCCCAGTGGCAAAGCCTTCGAATATACTTTATACTAACATCCTCAGCTGATTCTCAAGGCCATACAAATATAAGTATGTGATGACAAATGAGGAGCAATTGACAACTTTTTAAGAAAAGAAGGACTTGGTTAAAACTGAGTTTCATATGGACCAGGGCAGCTATATGGAGAGTGAATTTTAAAGGGGAGAGACTATTCACAAGCAGTCAGGGCAAACACTGTTTTCACAAGGAAAGCTGCTTGCTTCCCAATAGTCTAGCTGAAATCCTATTTCTCATTCTACAGGCCCAGTGCACATATTCGTGCACCAGTGGGGTCCCTCGGCATGGACTGTAGGGACCAGGACAAAACCAGCTCCCCAATATCTCCTAAGGGGTCCCAGATTGCAAGAGGGCAGTTCTCGGGTAATGCACCCCAGAATTGGGCTGCCTCCTCTCTGGTTCCAGGTGTGTCACTCAAGAACTGCAGCTGCCAAATCACCAAAGCTTGGCAGCTCCTGCGTTGAGCGTCTGCCCTTGATGGTCAGTGTGCATCATAGGTACTGGCTGGTTGGACGATTAGACAGTCAGACAGTTGCTTAGGCTTTTATATATATAGATATGATTATTGTAAGACATCAAATTTAAACCTAATCTGACCTTTGAGATCTAGCAATGGACACACTATCTTAATAGCCATATATATTATACTTTTATTATCTGCCAAGCATGATAAGAAGCACTTGCATATACACAGAGAAGCTAAGAGAGTAATACAAGGTCACAGAGCTGTAAGTGACAGAACAAGGACTCAAACCCAGAACCAGTGTTCTGAATCAGTGTCCTCTAAAATGATCCCTCCACTTTACAGTTTACCGTTCACCAACAGAGCCTCCAAGAAACCATATATTTATCTTTGGAAATTCCATACTGCTAGTTCATTCCATACTTCTGGAAAAAATGCCATCTCTGGAGTCTGTCTTGCGTTCAAATCCTGCCTTTGACTAATTTAATAGGTGATCTTAGAGAAGTCCTTTAACCTCACAATTTCTGTTTCCTCATCTGTGAATTGGTAATAAAACATGTTTATATTACAATATTGTTATTACAACTGAGTAAGAAAATATTTATAAAGTGCTTAGAATACTTCCTGGACCTTGGTAGGTGCTCGATAAATGGTAGTTCTGTCTCTTTTCTTTCCATTTCTTCTATAGTCTAGTGGTAACAACTCATGATCTGGAGAGCCATATTCTTTCACCAAATATATTTTAGTTGGTTGGTACTTTTTTGGAATGAAAAATATATAGCATAAAATTTTCCATCTTAATCATTATATTTAAGGCTCACCTGAGGACATGGGTTTTTTTATTGATGGAGACAGAGAGAGAGAGAGAGAGAGAGACAAACACAGAAAGAAAGAGAAACATTGATCAGTTGCCTCTTGTATGCACCCAAACAGAGATCAAAACCACAACCAAGGTACCTACTCTGATCAGGAATCAAACCTGCAGCCTTTTCGGTGTATCAGACAATGCTTCAACCAACTGAGCCACCCAGTCAGAGCCCATCTTAATACTTTTTAAATGTACATTACTGTAGTGTTAATTCTATGCACATTGCTGAGAAGTAGATCTCTAGAACTTTTTCACCTCACAAAACAAAACTAAAATTCTATAGTCATTGAACAACTCATCCTTTCCCCCTGACTCCAGCCTTTGGCAACCACCACTTTACTCTCTGGATCAAAGAGTTTGGCTATGTAAGATACTTCATATAAGTAGAATTATGTAGTATTTGCCATTTTATTTATTTCAGTAAGCATGATTTCCTCTAGGTTAGTCCATGTTGCAGCACGTGATCAGATTTCCTTCTTTTTTCAAGGATGAATAATAGCATATTGTATGTATATATGACATTGTCTTTATCAGTTTATCTGTCAGTGGACATTAAGGTTGCAGCCACCTTCGGGGTCTTTTAAAAATACTGCTGCAATGAACATGGTTGTGCAAACATCTCTTCGAGATCCTGTTTTGAATGTCTTTAGACATATGGCCAGATATATTCCCCAGAAGTGGGATTGCTGGATCACATGGTAATTCTATTTCAATTTTTTTGAGTTTTCCAAAACTGTTTCCAAAAATTACTGTTTTCTGTACACTGTTTTTACATGCATCATTTTATGTTCCCATCAAAAGTGAGCAAAAGTTCCAATTTCTCTACATCCTCACCAACACTTGCTATTTTCAGTTTTTCTGTGTGTGTGTGGTGGGGGGTGGTGGTGTGGTGTGGTGTGGTGTGGTGTGGTAGTGGCCATCCTAATTACTTGTCTTGATTTGCTTTTCTTGATATTAGTGATGTTGAGCATGCTTGCTGGCTCTTTGTATATCTTCTTTGGAGAAACATCTATTCAAGTACTATGTCTATTTTTTGAAATGAAGTTATTTGTTTTTTCATTGTTGAGTTGTAGGAGGTTTTTTTTTTTTTTAATATACTCTGGATATTAACCTCTTATCAGACATGTGGTTTGCAAATATTTTCTCCCATTCTGTAGATTTCCTTCTCATTCTGTTGTTTCCTTTGTGGTGCAGGATTTTCTATATTTGATATAGTCCCATTTGTCTATTTTTCCTTTTGTTTTTTGTGCTTTCTTTTCATATCCAATGAATCAGTGCCAAACCAATATCATGGAGCTTTTCTATAAGAATTTTGCAAGGATACAAACATTGAATCTATATCATTCTACCACCAGCCACCAAAATCCATGGCCTTCTCACATGCAAAATACAATAATTCTAACCCAATAGTCCCAAAAGTTCTACTTTATTCCAGCATCAACACAAAGGTCTAAAATCCAAAGTCTAATCTAAACATCATCTAACTCAGAAGTGGGTGAGACCCTGGGTACGATTCATCCTGAGGCAAATTCCTCTCCAACTGTGAACCTGTGAAGCCAAACATGTTATGTATTTCCGTAACACAATTGTGGGACAAGCATAGAATATATATTCCCATTCCAAAAGGGAGAAATGGGAAAGAAGAAAGGAGTGACAGGTCTCAAGTCAGTCCAAAACCAAATAGGGCAAATTCCAGTAGACCTTAAGGCTGAAGAATAATCCCTGGCTCACTGCTCTGCATTTCAGGCCCATGGGGGTGCCCACAGGGGCTGCATCTATCTGCTGGGACCTGCCCTATTTGTTCTCTTAGGATGGGGTTGAAAGTCTACCCTTGGAGGCAGTTCCATCCTTTGAGACCTAGGTGGAGGTAGCCACACCTGGTCCCTGGTACTCAGCAGGTGGCAGAGATGGCACCGCACAGATGCTGCCAAAATATGCTGCCTGCACTATACCAGGGCCCAGCAGAGCAGGACCTGGGGTGGCTGAGAAACTCCTCACTGTGGAGCAGAGACCTCTGTGAGGCAGCACCTGGTAGCACATGTCAAGGTCTTGCAAGGACAGCAATCTCTCCTTTGAGGCTGCTCTGCCTGGCCCTTGCTCTCTAGGCCTGTGATGAGAGTAGCCCAGCTGATGATCTCTGAATTAGGTTTGGGGTCATTCTTCCACAGTCTTAGAGAACAGTTCCTGGCTTTTGTTGTGACAGTTGGGCTATACTTACTTCAATTAACTGTTTCTCAGCCACACTCTTCGTGTTTCATTTGTGGCAGAATGGATAGGCTGAGGATTTTTAAAGTCTTTTAATTTCTACTTCCTCTTTTTTTATTTTTAGGTTTATGTAGAAGTGTTTTAGTGACCTTTTCATTCTTTTAATAATCTTTCAACGGCTTCCCATGGTTCTTAGAAGTTCTATTTCCTTTTTGCTTAACAACTCTGTCTTTAATCCACTTCTCTTTTCTCATATTTTACTATAAGCCGCAAGAAGGTACCAAGCCACACCTTCAAAACTTTACTTAAAAAGACCTTCAGCTAAATATTCTAATTCATTGCTTAAAAGTTCCACCTTCCCCCAAACACTAGAACAAGAACACAATCCAGCCAAGTTTTAGCCACTTTATAATAAGGATGACCTTTCCTCTAGTTTCCGATAACATGTTCTTCATTTCCGTCTGAGACCTCATCAGAAAGGCTATTAGTGTCCATATTTCTACACACATTCTACTCAGGATGCTTAGGTATTCTCTGAAGAGATTGAAGGTTTCTGTATAGCTCTCCTGTTTTCTTTCTGGGCTCTCACGAGAATCACCCTTATTGATCTTTAGGCTTTTTCTAGCAGTACTTCCAAACTTTCAGCCTTTACCCATCATCTAGTTCTAAAGCTACTTTCACAGTTTTAGGTAATTGTTACAGCAGCATCCCACTCCTCAGTGCTAATTTCTTAGTCTATTCAGGCTATTATAACAGAATACCATAGACTAGGTAGTTTATAAACAACAGAAATTTATTTCTCACCTTTGGAGGTTGGGAAGTCTATGATCAAGGTGCCAGCAGGTTCAGTGTCTGGTGAAGGCCAGCTCCCTTGCTCATGGATGGCTATCTTCTCACTATGGCCATACAGGATGGAAGGGGCAAGGAAGCACTCTAGGGTTTCTTTGATAAGAACATTAATCTTATGCAGAAGACTTCACCCTCATGACCTCATCATCTACCATAGGTCCCACCTCCAAATATCATCACATTGGAACTGGGGTTCAACATATGAGTTTTGGGAGGACACAAACATTCAGTCTATAGAAAGGTGTTTAATCTATTTTTAGTTAATTTTTATATATGGTATAAGGGTCCAACTTCATTATTTTGTATGTGGATAGTTTCTCCAACACTGTTTATTGAAGAAACTATCCTCATTGTATAGCCTTGGCACCCTTGATGAAGATCATTTGACCATGTGCATTAGAGTATATTTCTGGGCTCTCTATTCTGTTCCATTGGTCAATGTGTCTGCTTTTATGCCAGTAACATACTGTTTGATTGCTATAACTTTGTTATATGTTTTGAAATCATGAAGTGTGTGGCCTCTGCCTTTGTTCTTCTTTCACAAGATTGCTTTGGCTATTTTGGGTTCTTTGAGATTCCATGAGTTGTTGGATACTTTTTCTATTTCTGAAAAAAGAAATGGCATTAGAGTTTTGAAAGGGATTGCACTAAACCTGTAGATGATTTGGGTGATATTCAAATATGTAAGTTCCCTGTCAGAACCAGTCCCTCAGGCAGCCCCCCTGAAAGCCACAGTGTGGGACAAACATTCCATGTTTCTATTTCCCTCCACAGGGAGAAGTGGTGAGTTGGACACTTTTCCCAATTGCACTGAGCTGTGCCAGCAAGGGAAAAGGGCATTCATGGGTGAGATGCAATGGCTTTTCTTACCCATTTCAATGTTTGTGTTCTTGGTTTTGTACTTGCCTGGGGTACTGTGACTTCTTAACTGGAAGATCGATTTCTCATAAAGCCTCCGAACTGTATGTTTTTGTTAGGTCTAAATCAGTATCTCTGTGGAGGAACTTGTCTAAGGCTTCCCATCCCACCATTGTGCTCTGGCATAGTGGTTTTGGAAAATTTGTATTTGAAGATAGATTGGCAGAACATGTAGCTCCAATTTTGCTCTACCCTTTGTCCTCCTCCTGTCTTACATAAACTCTGAATGATACAGAATTCTTTTCCAGACTCTTCTAGACACTGTATATTCATATATTTTCCAATCTTGGAAACCCAGTAACAAAATATCACTTGTAGAAAAGCCTCCCTAAATGGGCTTCACTTTCTTCAGGCACAGAGGGCTCAATGCCCCATGAATGAGCTCATTTAATTGATGGATAGTTCTAGGTTTCAGAAATTAAATTTTTCTCTTTTTTTACATTAACCTAAAATCTACTTCTATATTATTTCTACACATTGTTCCTATTTCTACCCTAAGGAGAAAATAGATCTGAGGTTACTTTTTTTTTTAATTACATAGGACAGTCCTTTATTTACAGATGGATATAATGACTCACTCAAGTCTGGTTCTGAATAAAAATCTCCAGGCAAGTTTGCCATATGGATCCAAGGCCTTCTCTCCATCCTCATACCCTCCGTAGAGTCCAATTTGCTTTGCCCTTCTTAAAAGTTTTCTTTAAGAGACCCAAGACTTGAGCACAAGATTCCAGATGGTGTCTGAGTAGCGTAAAGGACAGGAGATCAACTATTACCTACCCTGGACTCATTGTTCTATTGATAATGGGATCATTCTTTTAGTATGTTTTAAAGCACCCAGCTCAAATTAAATTTCTGCTTTTTAAAAAAATATATTTTATTGATTTTTTACAGAGAGGAAGGGAGAGGAATAGAGAGTTAGAAACATTGATGAGAGAGAAACATCGATCAGCTGCCTCCTGCACACCTCCCACTGGGGATGTGCCCACAACCAAGGTACATGCCCTTGACCGCAATCGAACCTGGGACCCTTCAGTCCGC